AAAGAAGAGAGAGAGAGAGAGAGAGAAGGGGGAATATCTCAAGATTTGTTCTGGTGTAGCAGCCAGGTGAGAAGATCGACCTTTGTTGCCACTGCGACTGGCTTCATCGTGCCCTCGCTGTCCCTTTCGGTTACAACTGCGGCACTGTTCCACTCAAAGAATCGATTCAGCACGCTCAGTGGAGTGTCCCATGTAATCTCGATGAATTTGCGGTTTTTGCCCCGCGGTTTTCTTCGCCCTGTTGTCTTTGAGGGCTCTCCGTTCTCGCTCGAGTCGATTGCAAGGATGTCTCGGGGATCCGTGACCACCTCGGTCAGTTTCGAGAAATCGAACATGACCTCCGAGACAGGAGTCTTCCCAGTTGCGCGTCCATGAGAGATCCAGCTGAGGATATTCCCGAGGGTGATGAGGCCAGCAAGCCTCTTGCCATCGGGACCAAGGACAGGAAGCTGGTCGAATCCTTTATCCCTCATGAGCTCAATGGCCGTCTCACAGGTGTCATTGGATCGAATCGTCGTCACCGGCTTTAACCTCAGTGATTTGACCTTAGCAGCAGACAGCGGGTCCTTGTTTCCTCGAGCTGATAATTCCGGAGAAGTTGGAGCAGTCTCGGAAGGATCTGAAGGGAGTAGATCATTTGCGGCAAGCCAGTCGTCATCGGCAAACTAGAGAAGTTAGTAAGAGATATTACAGTTAACGACAACAGCAAGAAACCCCAAATGAATCTCCTCAGACGATGCGACTCACCTTGGTGAGATAGCTTCGAATGCTATCCGGGAGGATGACTACGACGACGTCATCTTTTCCAAAGCCATAATCCTTGCAAGCTTGTACCATCGCAGCAATAGCGCTCCCACTGCTTCCACCTACCAGGAGACCTTCCTCGGCGATTAGGCGCCGGGCATATTGGAAAGATTCCTTGTCTCCTGTCTTGTACCATTTGTCCACCGCATGCTGGTCGAGGACATCGGGGATAAAATCATATCCGATACCTTCCACCTTGTATGGCTTGTTTGCATGCTCGGTGTTCAACGAAGCAGGCAAGGCCAGGATAGATCCATGTGGATCAGCCGCAATGACTTTGACATTTGGGTTATGTTTCTTCAACCCTCGAGATAGACCTGTGATTGTACCACCAGTTCCTGCACCTGCAACGACGGCTGTGATCTTTCCGTTCGTCTGAGTCCAAATCTCTTGAGCGGTGCCGAGTTCATGCGCCAGTGGATTATTTATGTTGCTGTACTGATCCAAGATGTGCGCGTTGGGCAACTCTTTCTCCAGGCGCTTTGCGACTCCAATGTGGGATTCTGGCGAGTCGTACGCGGCCTGCGTAGGGGTGCGAATAATAGTCGCATTCAAAGCGCGTAGGACGGAGACTTTCTCAGCAGACATTTTTTCCGGGAGTGTGATGATTGTCTTGTAGCCTAGAGACCCGATGTGTTACACCAAAATTTCGACCCAAACTTATTCAGAGACGGCACTTACCCTTCACGGCTCCAACAAGCGCTAATCCAATACCTCTTCGGTCCTTTGTTAGCACACTTAATCTCTAGTGGAGCAAGATATGAACATTAATACTCACGTATTTCCACTGGTCGGCTCGATCAATGTATCGCCGGGTTTTATCCGCCCCGAACGCTCAGCCTCCTCGATCATCCGCAGTGCGATTCGATCTTTGACACTGCCGCCAGCATTGAAGTATTCAAGCTTCGCGTATACAGTGGCTTCGATCCCAAGGCTCTGTGGTAGACGGTTCAACCGGACAAGAGGAGTATTGCCTATGTGTTCGGTTATCGAGTCTAGCACCCCTGGAGGGGCAACCGAATTGCTGGGCGACATGGCGATGAGATTGAATTACGCGGTATCAAAGCAAAGCAAGTAGCGATTGATAAAATAGTTCTCAAGGAATGGATGAAAAAGCCGTAGAATGACGGCAGGGGCAAAGAAAAACAGATTTTATCGCATTCTTATTTCTGGCGAACTCTTGCGTGCTCAAAGTTGCCCCTCGCCGAGTTTAACCGCAGGTGCCCGCCCTGGTCCAGAACGAGTCGCTGCCGGATAACGTAATCATGCCCTGCAGCCCTACTGACCTGCAAACGGACAGCCTATTATATTATATATTACTATTACTCTTGGGCATTTATGTACTCCGTGTTTATATATCATTCTTCATGAAAGCGTAGGCGCATTCCGTGTTCCTTTTTGAACAATCACATGGCTCCATTTGGCGTATTCCTTCCCCCCAAACCCCAATTCCCCGCCTTGTTCAGTGGCACGTATCGCCGGATCAGGCTCGTCCATGCCAGTCCTCCTGGTTAGAATATCTATCTACACGTGAGACAACAATTGAGACCATCTATTTGACTAGAAACCAGAAATGATAGTTGACAACCTCGAAGAACTAAAGACCATAACGAGAGAAGCTCAACAGCACGAAGGATCATGCTGATATAAGCCCAAGAACTCAGGGGTCGTCTCCTTTTGTCTCAGATAATAATATCCGGTTGCTTCACAGAATCACAAGTGAGGTCATTTTGGCCCTAGACCTCTGGACGCTAACCATACTGATCGCATTGTGGGCCCCTATTAATATCTCCGTGGCTTGCATGCAGTACGGAGTACCCCGTACGGAGTCATGTAGCATGACTGCTTGCCAGAATCGTCAGATAAGATGCCAGGCACTCGGCACCCGGCATATTGTGCAACTCTCATGGCTGATTTTGCTGCATGAGTTGCGGCTCGTACACAGCAACTACTGTCAGACCCCCCTCCCTCCAATTTCGAGCCGACACGTCAATCAATTATTATCCCAAGCGCTGTCTGG